TCGAGTGTTAGAGTGATGCGTGTGGGATATCCAGGGTGATCCAGTGTATGTGAACAGTGAGATGTTTGGGCGCTGAAGTCGCCATAGCCATTTGAGAGTGAATTCGTATCTGAAGCCATATCTCTGAGTTTTGAGTGGGCGCATGTCGCCAGTGTGCTGTGTTACTGTTTACATGTGTGAAAAGTGTGTTTGAAAACGAGTCTGATTGCAATCCTACCCTCCGATCATCCGGCCAGATAATCCAACCAGATTATCCGGCCAGATAACCCATGCTACCTAAACCCAAACGCACGTGTCTAGGGACAGGTCACGGGTTCAAGGCACACAGGGTCAACGGCTGTACAGGGGTTCAGGGATAGGTCTAGGGATTGAGCCCTGGAATCTGCAATTGTCCTGCGAACTGGGTGAAAGTTCCCGTGAAACCCTTTCACGTCCGCCGTCCTAAATTTGAGGTCCTCCGAGAACTTTCCATTCCAACACAGGACCGTTACCCTTTTTTGCTCTTTCATAGGCATGAACTATGTCGGGAGCGGTTTCTAGAAGTTCGGTTCTTGTGAAGCATCCATCTGTCATGTGGCGGACCCACCTGGTGTGGTGCTCCGCCTGGGATAGAGATGGAGATGGAGGAAGAAGGGGGAGCGAGATGGCACATCGCAGCTCCCACGCTAGACTCCAACGCACGTACTCCAAAATGTGCGAATGTAGAATGATCCGGAAAACAGACTCTGGCTGGGGTATACCCCAGCGGACTGACTGGACTGGACTGGACTGGCTGGTACCGACAGAGGAACTGGCCTGGACTGGACTACCCCGAATACAACACAGGCCTGTGAGAACAGGCCAAGGGGCTGGTCTCACAGGCCAACCAGAGGTCCGCTACATGTCATCCTCGGGTTCTTGGTAAGCAAACCTGACTTTGTATTGCTTCTGTGGACGACCTCTACCTCCAGTCCAGAACACATATTCTTCTAGTATTCGGTCTATATCATATGTGCGATCCATATCGGGCGGAATCATTGACCTCCGCGATGGGAACTACTGACTGGTGACACAAGGCAACAACTTTGATGAGCGGAAGACCGGATGCATGTGGAGGTGTGGTGGAATCTCTATTGTGTAGGACGGTCTGTCCTCTCCACCCTTGACTTCTAGGACAGGCAACGGCCCTCTGTACGCGGGCAAGAGCTTTTGGGAGATGTTTTGCTCTGGTGCGAATTCCTTTGATTTGACCCAGACTAGGTCGCCTACCTCGAACTGTGAGGGTCTGCAACGCTTGTTCGCTTGCTCAATCATGCGATGCTGGGCCTTTCTAAGGTTTTTGATCACCTTGGCGACTTCCCTTTCGTGCTCCAAAGCAACCTCTCTAGTGTCGGGAGGTAACCTCTGAATCTGGTCCCGGTTCAGTCCTTCAAATGGTCTACGTGGCTGTAAGGACTTATGCAGCTCGTTAGGAGTTCGACAAGTAGCCAGGTGTACAATGTCGTTATAAGCGCTAGCTACCTTGGGAAGCATCTCCTCCCAGTTTACTTGGTCAGGTCTAATATACATTTTGAGTAGCTGCTGCAAGATCTTATTCATCTGCTCTATCTGGCTGTTTGTCTCTGAATGCCGACCGGACGACATCAACAGCTTAGACACACACACACACACACACAC